TCTTCTATAGCAAATGCAGTAATTACACAGGACATCTTCTTCCTGCTTTGTTTGATATTTTAATTAGGTAAATTGCTTTGCATTCCATGCAATATGATGGATCAAAAGGAACTTAAGTGTGATCATATGTCATTACATGACACACATTTCCCCAAAGTTCAGGCTCCAAAAGAATGAATATGTTCCAGCTAAAGTCCCAACTGAAACAGAGGAAATATATAAGATTACAATCCACTTATTTGGGAGTAAGTCTCTCTGAACTGAATGGAACTTACTTTTGAGTAGTTATTTATAGGATTTGTGATCCAAGTTGATTTAATAAATGGCATAAAAGACATCAAACACAAGCAGTCTGCATTTAGAGATGGTTCAGAGAATTCAAGAATCTTCCCATTTTAAAAAACCATGATTAGGAGATGCAAAGTATAGTACACCTCACAATAAGGCTAAATATTCTGCTTTTATTATTTTTCCCGTTTTCATAGTAGAAAACTTTAGGTCATCTAGGGATCAGCAACAGAAATTAAGGGACCAGTTTGAGCTTCCTGTAAATTCTACTTGATCTTAACAGTTAATATGGTAAAGGAAAAATTGGTTGTGGGCTTCTCCAGCAACACTTAGGAATCAAAGGAAGTTGTCTGACTCATCAACTTGATAGAATTGGTTATCTTTCTTGATGTATTAACTGGACAAATCCCTTTAGGTTAACATGCTATCATCAATGAAGAAGATGTTAGAAGAAAATTTAGAACACAATCTGACAAAACTGACAGTAGCAACATCTGTTTTCTATTTTGGGGGTATATTTTTGACTTTGGCTGCTTATCAAGGTCTGGACAGTAGATGTGTCCAAGAGCAAAAAATGGGCTTATAAATAAACTAGTACTTTGAGAGTGTCCTAATGACCTTTTCTATCACCAGCTCCCATTCTGGATTGCAGAGCTCAGACAGCATCCTATATCAATGAAAACTGGTGTCTGATGCCACAGGGTTCTGTCCTGGGCCCAGTGCTCTTCAATATGTCACAAAACTGGGTGGGATAGCAAATATCCTGGAAGATGGAAAGAAGATCCAAGGGGATCCTGATAGGTCCTGGAATAAAAACACAAGAATGAAATGCAATAGGGACAAATGCTGAGTCTTGCACCTCGGAAAAAGAAACAAAATGCTTTGCTACAAGATGGGGAATATTTAGCTTTACAATACTTGCCATGAGAAGGATCTTGAAATTGTCATAGCTCACAAGCTAAATGAGTCAACAATGCAAGGAAGCTGCCAAAAAGGAAAAAAAGGCAAATGTTATACTAGTATCACTTCCAAATCATGTGAAGTATTAGTTCCACTGTACTCAACACTAGTCAGACCTCATCTGGAATACAAGTTGGAAAGTGTTTAGAGGAGTGCAACAAGAATGATCCAAGGAATGGAAACAAAGCCCTATGAGGAAAGATTGAGAGAACTGGACATATTCAGTCTCGAGAAGAGAAGACCGAGGGGGGATATGATAGCACTCTATAAGTACTTGAAGGCTGTCACATAGAAGGATAAGATCTCTTTGTTTGTCCCAGAGTGCAGGCCACAGAATAATGGACTTAAGTTACAGGAAACCAGATCCCAAGAAAATACAAGGAAAATTTCCTGTCAGAGCAGTACAACAATGGTACCAATTACCTAGAGAGATGATGGGCTCTCCCACACCAGAGGCATTCAAGATGCAACTCGACAGACACCTTGGTGGGATGGTGTAACTTGGTGTCTTTCATTAGCAGGGGGCTGGAACTGACAGCCTTCTAGGCCTCTTCTAACTAGTCCAAAGTCCAAGTTATCATTGTTTTCAAAAGATCTTTGTATGATTAGTTGCCCCAGATTAGATGGGAGATATACATTCATATGGGACTTCAAACTGGAACTAATGCAATAGATGCTGTGAGCCCTCAGGATGCATATAGCATCACAGAATAGTAGAGTAGGAAGGCCATTGGGCCCAATGCAGGACTCCATGTTAATGCACCCTTCATAGATGGCTGTCCAGACACATCTTGAACTCCTCCAGTGGCAGAGAACCCACACCTCTCAAGGTAATTGCTTCCTTTGTTGTTTTCCTCTAAGAGTCAGGAAAATTTTCCTGATATTCTCCCAGAATCTGGCTTCTTGGAACTTGAGCCCAAAACTCCTTGTCCTGCACTCTGGGAAGATCAAAAAGAGTTCCTGGACTTCCTCTGTTTGACAAACTTTCAAGTATTTGAAAAGTGCTATCAGATTTCCCCTCAGTCATCTTAAGGCTAAACATGCCCATTTCTTTCATTGTTTCCTCACAGGGCTTTGTTTCTCCCTTCTGATCATTTGCCAGTATGTCTGCATCTTTCTTTAACTCTGTTACCTGGAACTTTAGATATATGCCCATGATTCTTGATCTAAAAGTGATAAACATGGCAATGGAAACCTGTTTATGAACATGGATATCCCTAACCATTTTTCTTCTGGAATGATAGCTTTTATTCTTCGTGTTCTACGGCCAGAGTCCTACCTTTTTCCATTAATTGAATGAGCAGTATCTTTCAGCACACTGTCATATTTTGACAATTAGTGTGAAGGTGAGACCAAATTAAACAAGTGGAAAGTAACTTAGGGGTTCCTACACATTTCACAATAACGTTTTCCTATATTCTTCAATAATATTTACACCCTCCAGTGGATTAATCTTTAGAAAAGACTAGAGAATGTGTGTTAGAACTTAGATGTTCCACATTTGGAGAAACTATTGTTTTTTCAGTTGATGGTATCTGAGGAACCATAGAATACTTTGAATTTCTAGATCTTCCCCCTCCTACTTAGGAAGTTATCCTCAGAAAGGGGGGAAACAGGGGCATTTGGTGGGCAGGACAGGAAATACGAGTTAAGTTATCCTGGACCTTCTTCAGTTTCTTTTTTCCTGAATCACTTTTGCTTGTCAAGCAGGAAAGCACATCTAGTGAAAATGCAGAGTGTAAGAATAGGGAAGCAAAGATTGCCTCCAGGGTGCCATCCTCCTGCATAGGATGAGTTTAAACCTGAGGTTCAGGGGCTTAAAGTCATCACAACAGGATTACACTCTTAACTGCAGTATTAGGACCTTGCTAGTACAAGGCAAGATCTGGCTCAAAGTAAAGTGCTAAGGCTGCAATCCTATACCACTTTGAGAAAATATATTAAGCCATATACAAATATTAAATATATAGACTTTGCTGTTTTCTATTGGATTGCACTAAAAGTTTTATTGATTTAATTCATTATTATCTGGGCTGCAATCCTTTGCACACTTACCTGGGAATAAATTCCACCAAACTCAATAAAATTAACTCTTACTATTACATTTCTTTACTGTCCAATAACCAAAGTTCTCTGGGTGGTTCACAAAGCACAATTTAATACTAGAAAATATACTATCATTGTAAAACATAATAGATGACTCTTACGTTTGAAACAGAATAAAGCTGAAATTAAAAATAGCAGCACAAAGATCTAAAAATGTACTAAGATCATTTGAACAGATGATGTTAAATGAAAAGGAACACCTAGAAAAAAATCTTAGGAGAAAGGCACAAGTATTATTATTATTTCTATACCACCCCATATCCAAAGCTCTCTGAGTGGTTTACAACTATGCTCAACTTTTCATGGAAAATGCTCAACATTTTCTAGAGTTTATGTTTTAGTCTGTATAAGATGGGCACACACCTAGAAAAATACACCACATTCTTGTGCCTCTAGCTGATTTGACCAGGATCTTTTCACCCAAGAAACAATAAATTTCAAAACAGAGTCTGTTCAGATATGTTTAAATCAATATTCATATAGGGTTGATCTAGATCAATGCAGGCATAATGGAAATAAACCAAGCAGAAACTATCTCATAATTGCAATTATTTTGTTATTGACAGTCTTTCTTTATTGGGCAAATGAAAGCATCCAAGCCAGTATTAAACCTGTCTATCCTGTTTTACATTTTCTTTATTAATTAAACTGAGTATTCCTTCTGCTAAAAATCCTATACAGACTGTTCTGTCTGTGTGTAAGCTTAGGGTTCTTAACTTGCCACAGAAGCTTAAGAACACTACTTTTAGCAACAGTGAAATGTTGTTATTGAGAGGTCATCTATTTCAGAGACAGGAAAATTCCTAAGCTACTTAAAAACTGATCTTGGCTCTTGTTGGACACTCCCTGAGGAACCTAATCCCATGTAATTTGGGAGAGAACACTGGGGTTGACTTGGCCAGATAGTAGATTCATACACTGAACTCTGATGAGAAGACCTACAATCATAAGGAAACTTACCTCTGTTACTGGGCGGAAGACTCACTAAAGGAGATGCAAGAGAGAGAGGAAAACAAATTTGTACATTTTAATACATTTTTGGTTAAAGGGCATCTTTAGAAAAGGTTGTATCTTTGTCTCCTTCCTTGTTTTCATCACTCACCAAATGGGTTCCAGTCCTAGTTTGTCAGTTTTCAGGTTCAATTTAATGGGCACCAATGTATTCTGGGCACTTTGGTTAATTCTGCTCCTTATCTGAACTTGCAGATACATGAAAGATATGCTAGCTTTCTACCTGAAAGTCTTGTCTTGTTTTCCAATCCTCACCTGTCTGGTTTCTCTGGCAACTGGTCCCCCAAACAATCAAAATAATCAAATCAAATTACTCCCCAAAGACCTGTACAATATGCCCATCAAAAGGAACTGTAGAGTGACTGCTTAATTTGGTTGAAGAAGCAGTTACTTAGCACAATTCTATGTATACCTAATCAGATGTAAACCCTATTGAGTTAAACAGCCTATGGACAAGGTCATTCTAGTCTCTACTAAGCAGTGAAACTCCACGGATGACTTTAGGCCAGTCATTCAGTCTCAGCCTAACCTACCTCCCTGGGTTGTTTTTATCAGGATAAAAATGAAGTAGAGAACTGTGTGAGCCATAATTCCTTGCAAGAGAAAGAAAGGCGGGATATAAAAGCAGCGTAATGATGATGATATTATTAATAACAGTGGTCAGTCAGGTAAGCAGGCCCAGAATTATAGCCACAGTATTCTGGGCCACTTTAATAGTGGCAGGAAACCCCACACACAATAATAGCAATAATGTGTCAGGCAAAGTCACCAGGAAGCATCACAGGAACATCAATGCATAGTTTCACTGGGGCTTACTCCTAGGCACATGGATGTTTATTTCTGTTTATTTATGTAGTACCACCACTATTCGATTTGTTACATTTATATTTTGCTGGTCAGGTAGGTTAGGCTAAGTCAGTGACTTAAAAGTCTTCCCAGTGAGGTTCATGGCTGGATGAGCACTCGAACCCAGATCTCCTGAGTTGCAGTGTAACACACTAACCACTGTGTCAGACTAGCCTAAGGACTGTACAGGTGAAGCACAAGAAGGCAAGAGAGGAAAGGCCTCTGTCCCAAGGTGTTTACAGTGGCAGTGGAAGGAATGGAAGCCAAGTGCAGCTCGACAGGAAAGCAGTGAGTGGTTGCTTGCTTTCAGGTGCTTCACACAGTTATATGGAAGTCGTACCAGAATAACCACTTATGAATGTGCTGCTGGCTACATTGACCCATGGTGGTGGTGGGGGGGGGGGGAACAGCAAAAGCATTCTGCACATGCTTAGAGGCACGCTTTCCTTACTGCTGTTTCACCTGGGCCAAACATGAAAACTGGTTCTGCCTCTTTCTCTATCTCCCCCCCTCCCCCAGCGCTCGTCGTTCAACCCGAAAGCTGCCTTCCCAGTGGAGGAGCAACTCCAAGCTGGATTTCTTCCCCTCTCGGCAAAGCAACGTCTCCGAAGAGCGCGGCGCCTCTGGCTCCTCTCGCTCGCCGAGGGAAGGACACGCGCAGGTCGCAGGACTGAGGCAAGCGAAGGAGGAAAGAGCGAGCGAAGAGCAGGTTAGCAGTCTCCGCGGCGCGCCGTCTTCGCAGCTGTTCCCGCAACTCCGGGCTGTCTCCGTCGAAGGTTGCGCCGGCGCTGTCCTTGAGGAGGCGCAATTGGGAGCTCGCCTCCCGCTGGCGGGAGCCGCGATAAGCGGCTTGCGCGGTATAAAAAGACACGGCAGCCGGGATCCCCAAGCGGGGCTCGCGTAAAAGGCGCCGGCGATGGGAGGGGCGCCGCGCTGGGAAGCCCGGCGTGTCCTCCGGCTGCTCCGTCCGGGAGCCGGCGGCCGAGGCGCCCGTGGAGGGCTGAGCCTTTGAGCCGTGCCGGCCGCTCTCGTCCCGCTGCGGACGGGCAGGCAGCTCCCGCGCCCTCTGGGGGTCACCCCGCTGCGCAGCCGCTCCGCCAACTTTGGAGCGCTTCGGGAGCGGGCAGGAAAAGGAGCCTCGCGCCTCCCGCTTGATAATAGCCGTGGGACTTTGACTCATTTGCACGGGCGGGGGGGGGGAGGAGGGAGGGAGGAAGAGGCCAGCCGGTTTTCCCTTGTCTCTTTCTCCCCCCCCCCCCCCGCCCAATCATTCTCTGCTGGAGGAATCTCGAGCACTCCCTTCCCATGGAGGGGGAGGAAGAGCGGCGGGCCAAGCAGGAGAGCCGGGAGAGCAACGTGCACAGGTACGCCTTCCGTGGCTCCGTGCGCGCGCGGTTTCGCTCGACTTCTCCTTGGCTGGGTTGGCGTTATGGCCCTCCAGGTGTATCAGGTGGAGGAGGGCGGTAAACAGAGAGGGGATTGATCGGCGGTGTTGCGAAGGGACGCGAGGCAGGGAGGAAGGAAAGGCGGGCAAGGTCTGTTAGTGGACGGGGAGCGGGAAGGGGCTTCTTGACGGTCTGAGTAAAGTTTCAGAGCCGGAGCGCCCCTTCCTCGCCGAAAGGGCCGCGGGTGGGACTTCTCAGGAGATTACATTTCCGGGGACCGAATTCCCTTTCGTTACTGGATTCACAAGAAGTGCTTCCAGACACACGACTACTTACGACTTAAGTAAAGCAGGTTGCTTTGGTATCGTATACCATAGCACAGCTAATTTTACTAAAGACTCCATTAAAAACCCATTAAAGGATTTTATTTTTCCAGAACAAGCCTGTACTTTCTTACTGCTCTGGATTCTTCTGATAGTTTAAGGCTGATGTCTTAAATACACTGCTTAGGAAGTTTCACTGATAGCATGGGATTTTCTTGCTGATCTTAAAACGTATCCACTTGGAAACATAATTTATTCCAGTTCTTGAAATTGATTCTTAATTTCATAAGATCTGATTTATAAAGGAAGGTTTTTTTTGTTAATTTGGAAATACTGCTTATACTATTTCTTCTCTAGAATCCGCCCCCCCCCCCGCAGTATTAGCATGAAGAACTTTAGAAAAACAAGGAGAGGGATTCACAATCTCATTTGAAAGTTATGAGTTACTAATTTAGAAAGATATAGTGAACAAGGTAATGTGTAACAAAACAGAATGTATAAAAACTTTAATTTCTTGATAGGGCTTCACTGGGAAAAATGCCAGTAAATTCCATCAATAAAAAAATATTAAACAGGGTGTGCCAACATGGATAGTCATGGAGAAAATGAAGAGGCCTGACCTGGACTAGGCAGAGTTTCCCAGTCGTTTAATAGCTTGTGTTTTGCTGTGGAATCAATGCACAGAGACTGGTGAAACATCAAGGATGCCTGACTAGTATTTCCCTTCTCATGACCAGGACATGGCTATTGCTGCGTTCTTTGTACTGGTGGCATATTGTCAAGTGAAAAGTTTCATACATACGGTAGAATCCAAATGATAAAGCTCCCCCCCTCCACCCCTTTGAACTGCACCTTTTCATGCTATAGGTAGAAGTGGGTATGACTGGATACGCCCTTTGCCATGAAGGTGAAAGATCAAGAGGAAGTGTGGATGCACAAAAGTTTAAGCTGCATGTGATCCCAGTGTGATACTTCTAAAAAAACAACAACAACACAGAAACATACTGTAGTATTCAGTACAGAAAAAGTTTTAAGACTTAGTTTGTTACATGCGTTAACTGGGTCTAAATGCTTGTACATACAGATTGGACTTTGGAAAGCTAGATTGGAGTGATGTTTTTAAGTGCTTTAAGACTAGAGAAAGATGTGGCTGTATTTTGACTTTCTGTCTAAATGCTAAGTATACAATATGTCTCTGCTGAACTGCTAGATTCACTTGAACTACTCAGCATTTGCTTGAATATGTTTTCCAATTGCAGCCAATCATGGCTCCTAAGCACTCATATCTGCTGCAGATTATTCATATTTGAATACCTTAGAAAATGTTGATTATTGCTTGGAAATGACCTAAGCCACAATTTTTCATTCTCCATTTTGACCATGCTAATACCCAAAGGCTAGAGAGAGATAAAACCCATGGCTGAAACAGGCAAAGTTTCCTTGTCTGAGTGAATTGTTATGGTGAAGTTGGGGTAGCAGCACTGCTTGAAAAGTTGCAGGCCTTGGAAAGAGAAACAGTCCAGGATCAAAGTCACAGAGAATTTGTAATGGGACCACACAGTATAAAGGATCCATTGGTGTCCCTGTCATTTAATGATACTTAGCATTTGATAGTACTTAGCATTTGATATTTCAGCAAGAGCCTTAACATACGACTTTCCTTCCTATTGGTACATAAGTAAATTTGTAAATCTTAACTCTTTTCCAGTTTAAAGAACTGTTTTTATGAACATACCCTTTATTGCACTAAATCACATCTCCTGTAGTATTGACTTCTGTCTAATCCCTAAATGCTATGTAGGATTACTGTGCATGTGTGTGGCAGGTGATGGAGAAAGCGGTATATGTTGGATATCTGCCTGGTCATTTACAACTGCACTATCAAACACTTATTTTTGCAGTGAAGAACAGAACAGAACACTGGCAGCTCTTTGTCAGACAGAATTTCACTGCCTACCTATGTAGCAAGTGACTGGGAAAGCTACACCTGCTGAATGTCTGCCTGGATATATGACTATTTTTGGTGCTGAATTTTTGCCTGGAGGCTTACTGTATTTATAGTATTTATGAAACTGAGATCACTGTTTCCTCACTGAAATCAGATATGGAAGATTTCTTGGTATTCAGGAAGTACCATTTAGCTTTCATGGCTAATGGTATTTTGACTCATGAAGCATTATTATAAATAGTGTAGCGTTTGCTGTGTGTTTGGCATTATGCATGAGTGACAGTAATGTAAAGCAAAGATAGGGTCGTGTTTTAGGCAGGACTGCCATCGCGGGTTGGCGCAGCTGCGTACCTGCTCATAGCCCACATGCTGGCAGGGACAGACTGAGAGCATCCCAGTGGCTCACACCATTGCGCCCTGCTTGTTGACCTGCACAGCGGTGCTGGTGAAGAGTGGCAGATCTCACTGGTTTTTTACTCACTGTCAAGAGAATGGTAGCAATGATGAGAATGAGGAAGCAGTGCTGATGCCAATGTCAGACAGAAGATAGATTCACCAAAGGCTGGGACTCAAGGAGTCTTGCGTCTTGCCCCAGTGCCCTGCTAAACCTGTAATGAGCACCATTTTTTTGTTTCAAATTTTTCATCAGAGTTGAAACATGTACCCTGCCTTTGACCTCAATACCCAGCTATATTGTCTGGGTATTTTGGGGCTCTCTTTCTGTTGCAGTTGCTTTCCACTTAAGGATGGCCATTGTCTCTAGTGCCTGGTACCATTTTTTGTAGTGCAGGTGGACATTTTCCTAGGGACGTAGGGTGGTTAAGGCTGGAGAACTAAGAATTATATTAAACAATATGGGCATGACCTAGGTACAGTGTTGCACCCTCTCCCCCTCCCACCATATAATTGAACAACATGGTAATACTCCTTTATTAAATTATGTTATTGTATTTACATCCCTGTAAGGAAGCACAACCTCACTTGCAAGCTAAATTCTCATGCATGCGTGAGTGTGCCTGTGTATGTCTGCTGGCATACATTACTGTGAGACACATTAAATGAGAAAGATCCATCATTTGTGATACAGTTTCCAATCAGTATTTTAAGCATATGGTAGATCTGATCTGAAAGCAACAAGGCAGCATTTCAGGTGTCACACTAAACTATGGTTTAGTAAGATGTGAGGTGGTGCAGCTTCACCCCGGTTCATGTACTTCCCTCTTGCCTCTCCTTGCCAAGTTTTCCCCCCGACACACTTAGTTAATCACAGTTTGTCATATCATATGGAATGAGAACCTGGGGCTACCATTCACTGTGGTTAATTTCAGACAAGTCAGCTTCAACCTGTCATTTCTGCAGCAGGCTTGTTTAAACCTACTACAGATGAAGTTCAGCACAGGTGCAGCTTTGGTGACAATTGGGATGCTGAAGTTAATGAAGAGAAACTCCCCAGGTCTGTCTCTTGGTGTGTTGAAGGAGGAAATGCTTGTTCAGGACTTGCTAGATCATAATTTAGTATGACATCCAAATATGGCCAGTAGTTATATTTGCCTTAGCCTTGAGCTGCATTCCTAAGAATGATTGGGGTCTTCCTTAAAAATAGGCACTTCCCTCCACATTTTTGGTCTTGTGTAATGGGAGATTTGCAGATCTACTTGGGTAGTCATAACATACTGATAAAAGGGTAGTCACAGATTCTTTATGCACAGGACCTTTATGCCTTTATGCACAGGACCACAGACTAGGAGATTAAAACATGACAGTCTTTCTCTATTTGAATTAGCCTGAATTTCTTAGTAAAACATGCTTAGTGTTGTTGTTGTTGTTGTTGTTGTTGTTACATTTCTATGCCGCCCCTTGCGGGTTAGTTGAGTATTTTCGGAATCATGAAGGTCTTCCTGGATGTTTATTGAGTCTGTGTTGTCAATTTGATGCCTTTTCCTTCTGCCATTTCAAGTTCAGGGTTCCCCCCCACTGAGGTTTCATTTCTGAGTTTGGTAAATGAATATTATATCACTGCATAAAACTAATATGTTTATATTACAGAGTGGATTCCTATGGGTTTGAAAGGCCAGTAGACTTTGACTATGCAACATATGAAGAATTCTTTTCTAGATACTTAGTGATACTCACTAGAAGAGCAATTAAGTGGTCCAAACTGTTAAAAGGAAACAATACTGTATCAAAAAGCTTAAAAGGTAAGATTCCCGTGTACTCTGGGATTTGACTGCAAAAACATGAAAAATGCACTAGTCTGTTTTGAAATCATACTTAAAACCCCCTTTTTTGGGTAAGGGCTACACATACTACAATGTATGTATGTATCTGATAATGCCTGATCCATCTTGTTCAGATTTATTATTGTGCCAGTGCCCCTTGCTTTACCAAGGGGGGCATTTTATGGCCAATTTTGTTAAACTAATAGTTGGTGGGGGAAAAAACTCTAGATTTGACCCTTGATTGTTGCTGGAGTTTTGTTTCATTTCTACCTGCAGTGGCTTGCAGATATAGCCTCTCACCTTTGACTTTTCCACATTTTGGCACCAGAATGGATTTCATCAGTATTGTTACCACTTGATGTGCATATGATATTTAACACTGTGGAGGTGTAAAATATTTTTTATCAGAGCACAAAATTTAACAAAAACAAACTGTCATTTGTTGTTTATGTAAGTATTCACTTCCCTGAGTCAATATTTGGTAAATCTTTGGTTGCAATTCCAGCTGTGAGTCGTCTTGTGTAAGTCTTTCAGCTTTACACAGCTGGATCCTGCAATGTTTGCCCATTCTTCCTGGCAAAACTGTTCCAGTTCTGAGCTGCTTCCATTCTTGCCACAGGTTCTCAGTCAGATTGAGGTCTGAACTTTGGCTGGATCAGGTTCTGCGATATGAACCACTCCAGTGTTACTTTGGCTGTGTGTTTAGAATCATTGTCCCTTATTGATTGAGCCAGGATTTCCTCTAGAATTGTCTTGTACGAGTATTTGGCTCCATCCATCTTGCCTTCAATCCTGACCAGTTTTCCTGTTCATGCAGAGGAAAAGCATTCCCACAACATGATGTTGCTACCACCATGTGTCAACATGAGGGGTGGTGTTTTCAGAGCAATGAGCAGAGTTGGCTTTGTGTCACTTTGCTGCAAGGCTCAAACATTCTTGTTTGAACCCCTCAGATCGGAGAAGCTTTTATCACATGTTTCTTGTGTTCCCCAAATTCCTTTTTTCAAATTCCAAATAGGCTTTGATATAAGTTTCTTGCAACAATTCCTATCTTCTCACCATTCTTCCACAAAGCTCAGCTTTGTGGGATGCCTGAGTAATACTTGTCCTATGGATGGTTCCTCCCAACTCAGTTTCAAATGTCTTCAGAATTCCTTCAGAATTACCCTTGGCCTCTTGGTTGTTTCTGAGTAGTCCCCTCACCCAGTCACTGAGTTTTTCTGGGTAGACTTGTAGCTGAGCCATATTCTTTCCATTTGGTAATAATGGATTTAATGATCCTTTTAGAGATGTTCAAAGTTGAGGATTTTTTTTTAAATAATGAACACAGATTCGTGCTTCTTTATCACTTGTTTCCAGAGTTGTTTTGATAGCTCCTTGGTCTTCAAGATGCTGTTTGTTGTACTCTCCAACAAACTTGATGTTTTCCAGAAATGTGTATTTAGTCTGAGACTGTGTGGCACTGGAATTACACACAGGTGGATTCCACCCAACTACTTACAGGACATCATTTCCTGAGGCGCTGGGTTGTATGTACCGGAACCTGTTCAGGGATGACACAGCAAATGGGTGAATACTTATTTAACCAGCAAATGCTAGTTTCTTTTTCACTTTAACTTTCTTTTTAACTTTTGTCTCTCACTAAAAATATTTTGTACCCCTTCAACATTGAGCATTTTGTGTATATGAAGTGGTAACAGTGCTAATCCAATCTATTTCAGTTCCAGGTTGTAACAACAAAACGTGAAAAAACCAAAGGGGAATATGAATCCTTTTGCAAGGCACTGTAGTTTCTGTCCTTGTAAGAATTTAGTCTAATCTGCTTGGTATTATCAATGACTGGTAACAGCAGCTCTTTGTTGCAAACCTGGTACAGTGAGCTGCCATGGGTAGAATGTCTCTTTCTCCATCCCTGCTTTCTAAAATGGTGCATTTTTGGATAGCAAAACTTTCAAATGCAAGTCTTTAGAGCAAACTTAAATGCTAACTCAATGCATACCAACTTGCTTCTTAAGAATACAGCACAACTACAGGTGAGGCAGTAAGTTACAGTTTGAACTTTGTATTCAAGTCAATCACACAAATACATTTGGTTGGATTCAGATATGTGGGCATAAACACACAGAGGGAAGGCCTCTGATTTTTGATGACTTCCTTTAGCTGAAGTTGTGCTGACTTAGGAACAGTACAGAGGGTTTCAGTGGGACATGAAAGAACTCTATTCCTTGAATGGCACTCTGGTTATGGAAGTTAGGATCCAAGGTAATGAGGTTAACCATTTTGGTTGAGAGACTCACAGAACAAAATTTGATGAATCCCAAGACTGAAGCAAATTAAAGGATTATTTCATTTTCGTGTACATGGCCCTCATGGATTGAGTCAAAGAAGGAATTCTCTGATGTTATTTCTTCTCTTGTGAAGAGAATTGAGTTGATGTCTCACTATTTGCTGAAAAGTTTACTGGTTGAATGTTCACTTGATAATTGCTGTCCCTCTGGATGTTTATAATTGCATGTTAGCTGTGCATTTGAATGCACTATAACTAGTTAGGTGACTAGATACCACAAATTCTTGGTGGTGATGGTTGGGCAATGGTAGAAGTAGGAGTCAAACTGGGAAGTGATTATGCCATGCATACTCGTAATTGACAAACTATTCCAATAAATTTTTGGATACCAGTGATGCCAGTCCTGCATGGCTTTCTAAATTCTAGCTACACATTCTTGATACTCAAGTGCTTCCTTGGATTTCTCCAGAACTGTGATAGCCTTATCAAGTTTAGCTTCCATGTAAACTGAAAATATATACATTTCTTCCAAAGCAAATGTTCTCAGTAAGGTTTTATTTTGCAATCCTGAATGAGAAGTGGATGGATGCCAGCTCACACACAACTAGAATAGGCTGAGATAGCAGGCGCGCGGGCACATGTGTGTGTGTTTACTGATTCAGCCTACTGATGCGGTAATATCGTTTAGACTAAAATAAATGGATTTAAATGGTTGTGACACATTTAAAACTTAAAAAAATGATTGTAGATTTATGCATTTACTTCTAATGGTGCTCTTAAATGTTTTCCTGTTATGTTTTAAACAAGATTCTGTTTTAATCTCTATTTTATTTTGGCCTCTTTGAGCATCAGGTTTTGGAAAAATGCAAGATATAAATTAATTGAATTAAAAATAATATGCATCAATAGCAGTGTAGCATATTGACAGTGGTGTTAAGGAATAATGAATGTGTGCCAAGCCACAGGGCTGCTTTCTCCTTGTACAGGCTACCAAAGTCACAAGGCAATCTGCTTGCAGCAGCTGATTTAACTGTGTTTCAGGCTGGCTTTGCTTTTAGAATCAATGCCCATAATGGGAAAGGGTCAGTGGCATAGTCAAAACAGAGATTATGGAACACTGCACAAACAGTGCTATTATTCTTGACTGTGAACATTCAGCCATTATAACATTCCAGGGAAAAATGCTGAAGTAGATTTCTTCCCAATTCCATTTTATTAGATGAAGTGGCCATTGGATTATCTGAATTGACTAGTTCACATGTAACAACAACCCATGATTGCAACAGCCCTTAGGCTGTGGCAGACAACTGGGGGAGAGCTGGTGTGCTGCTTTCCATGTGCCTGCCAATTCAACTCTTATTCAACAAACTACTTGTCTTGGTCATCATTTGTTGAGTGTGACATGTAATCTAGAAGCAGTGGTTAGTTCATGGCTTGTTGTTGGATTAACCACTGGGTTATTTAGCTTTGGTTCAGGTTTGTATATCATGCTCCATTATGTTTGAATGAACCAATTCTAGATTGCTGATTAAAAGTGGAAGTGGCAGGGATGGATTGTTTGAACCATGTACAATCAGGTGCAAACTTTGAGAACTGATTTTACAGAATGTAGTGAAGTTCCATATTCCTAAAGCATCTTGTATATTACAAAGATTTTGAACATTATATGTTGTCTTTAGTCATTTTGTCATGACTCCTACTATTACTATATATATTTCTGTAGTTTGGTATCCTAATATGTCTAGGATGATTTTGTAAGCTGCCTAGAGACTCTTTACATATTTGGTGGTATATAAATGGAAATATAAATAAATACATAATTTTTGCATAACCCTTAGCTGCAATGAAAATAGATATTGACAATGTGCATCAGTGGAAATACATCAGCAATTACCACATCTTGAAGTTGCAGTTCTCGTTCTCCCACTCCCTCCCTCCCCCTGGAGCAACACTTTCTTATACCTGTTAGGCAGCCTTGACCATAATTTACTTTGATTTTCTGGATATTTTTGAGTGTATATGCTGAAGGTGTTGCTAAGCAGGACGACTGTACATTTTAAAAAGTCATGCGGTCCCTGCACAAAGTCAGTTATTATAATACCAAGCAACTTTTTTTGTGTGGTTCTTCCTTTAAATATATAAGTTTCATTAGAGTTAGCCTTAGTGGGCTGTGAATTAAAATAGATCCAGGAAAAGGATCCTTAAAAGGTACCACAGGTTTATGTATGATAACCATTAGTAACATAGAACACTAGTCCATTTAGTGGAATGTTGTCAACACTTTGTTGTAAACCATCCGGAGAACTTGAGTTTCAGGGAGGAATTTTGTTTCCAGCCCTCAAAATAGTTTTCCTGGAATCTAATCTATGGCCTTCTGTATGCAAAGCAGGTGCATTACCACTGAGCTTCTTCAAGACTATGGAACTCTTTTGGGTTAATCTATAACGTTAGTTTCTTAGTCCACATGCAGACACGGCTGGGGTGCCTGCGGAGTAGGAGAGGCAGGAAAAGAGTGGGGATTGGAGCTATTGCTCTGACTTGCCATTTTGAGCCTCTGCGTATTCTCAGTGCTGTTTTCCGTAAGATCATCCTAATGTTCATTCTGCATTTCTGAGCTCTTGTTTGGGGAGTGATCAAGCAGTGGGTGATTAGCCTGTTTCCTTTAACATCTATCCTAGATTGTCTCTTGTCTTTTAAGTATCCAAAACCATGTTTTCACATCATTTTTTCCATTTCAGTGAAACGCTATATCAGGAAAGGCATTCCAAATGAGCACCGTGCATTGGTTTGGATGGTAGTAAGTGGTGCTCAGTCTCGCATGGAACAAAACCCTGGATACTACCAGAAATTACTTGAAGGGGACAAAAATGACAAGCTGGTGGAAACCATTAAGACAGGTTAGTCTTGAAGCCTGTGTGCCTGGGCTCCTCTCCTTTCTGCCTAGAAGCTTGTACCCATCCTTCAGTGTGCTTTGTTCCAGCTCATGGAGACTCAGGGACCGAATTATGGAGACCCATCATTCTAGTCTTCCTTGGGAGCAATTATTTTCTGCCAACATACATAAGACAGTGTCTTAGTTCAGTTAAACAACCCATCATGGGTTAACTGTAGGTTATTCAGGGGTGGGTGGGAGCAGGCTGGCAGCAGGTATCCACCTTGGGCTGTGCATAGCCCAGCTGGAGATATTCTCCTCCTTCCCATTGATGGGAGTAAACAAGGCTTGACTGGTCACAGCATACAGCTGTGTTTTAAAGTGGGACTTAGAAGGGGTTAGTACTTTCTGTTTGGGTAAGGGGATGTACAGGCACATAGAATACATGTTTCTGAACATAGGCTGGGCTAGGGCTAGGGCTAGGGCTAGGCAAGGCAAAATAGCTAAGCCCTTCCAAATCCTGCTTCAAAAACAAAGGTCTGACTTCTACATGAGTTTGACATACATCAGAGTGAGCACCCCTGTCAGTGGGAATCCCCTCTAGTTTTGCAAGTTCGTGTAAGCTGTCCTGAGGTTTTTGCAAAGGACAGCATACAAATAAATTAATAAATGCTGGCACTGGGAGGACCCTTTCAAATGTGAGGCGTGCACGGCACCTGATTTCCCCCAGAGTCACTCAAGGAACTTGTGGCTAGAAGGAAGGAATTTTTGCAAATTGTCGTTTCCCTCCGAGACATCAGGAAACTTGCAAGTACAGGAAAGATTTGCTTGAAACCTGAGCTCAGCACTGCACAGGGTGGGCATCTGTTGGATTTGGCCAGCAGGCAACCCTGTTGCAGCCAGCCCCTCCCTGGAGGACCCACTGTGTGTACCTGCCTTGCCAAAGTTTGTGCAAGTTGAGCAGAGTGGGCTTTTAAAAGGATGCAGTTCTTTGCTTATAGTATCAGATCAATTTTTTTGTTAAGGGTGACCATAGGCAGTCCCCTTGGAGCGGTAGCTCATGGATGTCCACTTGGGGATTGCCAAGCACAGCGTGACAGACAGGTTTCAGGGTCTCAGAAAAAGGAAAAAAATGAGGGGGATGGGGTCAAGCCACAATGAGCTTGTAGTGGTTGTGGCTGGCAGAGGGAGAACTTTTAGCGGTCTCCCCTGTGTGCCGCTTCAGCATTTCTGAATGGATAGCAGCGGTGGCAAGGGATTTTTGCTTCCCTTGCTGTGTGGCCTGCTGGTGACTGTGTTGTGTTGTCCAGACTTGGACAATGTGATAGTGCATCATTTCGCAAATCCAGCAAAAAGCCATGCATCTTCTTTTCATATGATAGGACAACCCTCTATGATTTAGAAGCTTAAAATCCACAGTGGGTTTTTGTGTTGTGTAAATTCCATCACTAATTTCTTTGCCTAGAACAATGATTGGTCACTCTAGTTCTAAAGCACTAAAATAAATCAGGTGACACTTGAACTATCATGAGAAGTTAAGGCTCACTGAAGAAGACAGCAATGCTAGGGTGTTTTATTCGTTACATAAATAAAACATATTTTAAAACATATGTATTTATTACATTTCTATTCCACCTTTAAACAAAGGTCATGGAACTCAGGATGGCCACATGGAATCCCCAGGTGGTCTCCCCTTCAGCCAATAAACAGCTCAAGTCCTGCTTAGGTTGGTGTGCCTTCAGACTGTGTGTCCTGCTGGCATTTTGACATATGTGACTCTGCTGTATATGCACCAGAAGATAGTAATTGCAGTTTTTGCAGACATAAGACTGTGGGGCTGATCTTGCTGGCATGCAGTCACACTGACCTAGTGAGTGCGTGTTTTTGAGGAAGAAGTTATGGGCAGTACAGTTCCTGCTCAGTTAGAGGTCACAAGGTGGATGCTATCCATGTCCATATCCACATTTGAAATGTATGTTGGTGCGATTCTGGGTTTGAGATTAGGATTGCAGGTATGGTGCTGGTCATTGCTGCATTCACAATGTTAACTGGAGGGTTGGAAGGAACTGAATTTCTACCTCTTTCCAGCACTTGTGTCTGAATGAACAGCTGCAATGCAACCTTGCGTGTAAGCATTTCTGAATCACGTGTCTTTAAGGTCAGGATTGCTTAACTTCTTAAATGTAGAATAAATTTTTAAAGTTAGTCACCTTCTAAAAATACTGCTCATATTCTTAATTCAGACAGAAAAAGGTGATCAGAATATTGCATTGGATCCAAATGTAGTCATATTTGGAGCAGAACTCTTCAAATTTATTTATCTGTTTATTACATTTCTATACCGCTCCTATAGCCCTTCAGGGCTCTCTGGGCATTGTACAATGCAACTGGTGAGACTTAAGTCAGTCTGACTAAACAACCATTTCTTTCAGTGGGTCTACTCGAAGTATGACTAAATAGGAGCCTAATCCATTGTTCTGTGAAGATGTAATGATAACGTTCTTCAAACCTGAAGAAAAAGGTTATCTCAAAACTGTATTGATTAAAACCAATGAGAATCCTTTCTCTCTGTCTTTAGCACATTCTTTGGATTAATGTTTGTGCTAAAACTGACTAAAATTAGTTTGCTAGTGAAAGCATAACTGCATTGACATTCAAGCTTGATTACAGGGATTGAAGCAAACAACAAACAAAATTTGAGCGTCACTCTACACTGAAAAGTTCTCTTGGTTTTGACCTTGCACTTGCATAAAGGAGCAGATTTTTTCATTTGTGACTACAATTATTTGACTGCAATAATAGCATAATACCATGTTTTGTTTAGAAAAGGCTAACTGTGGGATTGATTCACATACACGATTTCAGTAAGGCATGATTTTTATCCACTGAAATCTACACTGGATTGTTGTGTGAGCTCATCTTTGGCAGTGCAGTTTTCAGTAAGAAAACTGGTTATAATTTATCTTATGAAATATCTTATGTGTCCACACAGGTTAGTCTCTGCCTTGCATCTGCTTGCTTTTCTTTGACTTTCATTAGGGTTAATACAGCCATTATGAAGGCTGTAAGACTGATGTGCTTATCACAAAATAAGGCTAATTGAACTCATAGGGATGTACTTTTAAATATTTTTTAAAGTCATGATCAGGTTGTGAGGGTATAATCAAGTGCATATATTTCATTGGTTTCTATGAGTTTTATGCATGCTTTTGTTTGGTTCGGTTTTTAAAAAATATTACAGGCCAAGTCAATTTCCTACAAACAATTCTAGCCACTTTCAGTATGATTTATGGGTGCAGAAATGGGCGTGGCTTGCTCTGTAGTCTTGAACAAGGTTGTGAAGGAATAATGAGGAACATACCTTTTTATAATGGTTGCACATGCACCTAGAAGGAGTATCATGGAATCATAGAACAGTAGAGTTGGAAGGGGCCAGACTGCCATCTGGCCCAAGCCCCTCTTCAGTGCAGGACTCCGAGTTAAAGCGTCCCTCTCAGATGGCTGTCCAGTTGCATCTTGAATGCCTCTAGTGTGGGAAGACCCAGAACCCCTCCTAGGTCATTGGCTGCATTGTCATATTGCTCTAAGTCAGGAAGTTCTTCCTGATGTTCAGCTGGAATCTGGCTTCCTAATGTAACACCCTAGTAAGCTTTTGAGGAGTCCAGTCATAGGGTGAGAAGTTGATGGATTCTGTAAGGTGAGCAGAAGCAAGCTGCGGGCCTTATGCTGCTCATGGTAGGTCTTTGTGCAGCCTGCAGAGCCCCGAGAGGGCCCTGTCCACTTTATCCCACTGCCCACTAATCAGCCGTTAGTGAGGATGTGTGCGACAGATAGCTGTTTCCCTGAAATAGCCTCAAAATCTCTTGTCTCACCCTGTGATCTGGATTAGAATTACTGTGGATGGGGTGAGACTTCAGACCCCCACCAGCAGTCTCACTCCCTGATCTCAGCAGCCAGGGAAGGGGCTTTAAACTGGTACTGTGAAAATCAGCAAAACTGAAACTCATCAAGGCTCTTCTATTTCCTCCCTAAACACACATGATCCATATTGTGTTCTTTTGTTTTCTCTTTTTGCATGAAAATGTGTGCATATTTTTCTGCAAATTTTCAGGTGTACACATCAGCTGTGCACATTTTAATGTACATGCTTTCAAATGCATTTTTCCTGCAAATTACATCACAAGATCAGAAACAAACAGCTTTGACATTTCAGTCTTTATTCAGCTTCAGGAGGCGTGAATGGGCTAAATTCTAGACCAAACAACCAAATAAGTTTTCCTGGCGTGAACCTCTCTGTCCTGTCACACTGAGATGGCAGTGGGTGTGGGGGAGTGATTGTGTGTATACACGCGCGTGTGTATGCCTGTGTGTGTATGTGCCCACTTCAGTGCAGTGTAGCATTTGGATCTTAGTGCCAAAATATTTGCTTACCCCTGCTTTAGGATTAAATTACTTTGAACCAATCTGGAAACTTACTAAAATAGAACCTTCATTTATACATAACCTCTGGTTTCTGGGGTAAATAAACATATGCCAAGATAGGTTTTTTTTTTCATTCATTACGTCCTTGAATCAGTTGCATTCTATCCCAGCTCAAATCTCAAGGCTTTGTTCAGTGCTTTGTAGATCTGTTTTAAATTGTTTCCTTTTTATTTTAGACATGAATAGGACATTTCCAGATAATGTAAGATTTCGCAAAACAGCAGACCCTTGTTTACAGAAAACACTTTACAATGTGTTAGTGGCATATGGACATCATAATCAGTCTGTGGGATATTGCCAGGTATGTAACTTGAAGAATGTAAGTGCAGTAGATGTTATTTTTGAAGCAGTAGGTGTGCAACTCAGCTCAGCTTGACTGCACTGCAAAGTTTGAACAGTGTAAGTTTCACATACACAGCCTTCTCATCATAGCATTTTATGAATTTAATATCCTAAATTTTAGCCACATTCCAGTCGTTTCCAGTTTGCTTCTTTTACTTACAGCTGTTAGTCATTCCCGACACAGCCTTCAGGACTGCTGCGCAGGCTCTTGCGCAAGATCTGGAGCTGACAATATCTTGCATGCCAACATGCCCAGAAACAGTGTGCAGCTCTGGGCCCTCAAACCTGGCTGCCCACGCCAACCCCAGACAGCAGCCCTGAGCCACAGAGATGCACAACTTACTTGTGCCGCAGCTCCCAAAACAGAGTTTTGTGCTTAGCAAGCAAGGGGGATTCATTCTGTTCTTGCTGTACTGGCCAGCAGAAATTCCACAGATAGTAAGAGTGTTGCATTTAAGGCTGAGACCTCTTAGCTGACCCTGAATGGTGGGCGCAGGCCCAATGTTGCAGTTAGTCATAAGAGTAGCATGAAATAACCAGACTAGAACAGGGACCGCATGTCTGATCTAGCAGCAGCCTTGGAACAGTATTGGCGGCCTAGCAATTGCCTTGGGATCTTTGTTCCAAAAAACAAAACAGAATCAGGCAGTACATGAATTTAAAGAATCCACCTAGAAGCCACTTATCTTTCAGTAACCTTGTTGGATAGTAGCTCGCTGCTACTGTTCTGTAAAATAAATTGCAGACAAGAGTATCAGAAGGGAATGCTGCTTTAAAAAATGACTTCAACAGTGAACTAGAAAACCTTTCAGTTAGACAAAGGATTATATATGCTGAACAATGCAGGAGGCCAGATTGTTCATTGCTCTTCAGCTGTTTAAAAACATCCTGTGAGTACAAAGAGCAATGCATGTATGTAACTCTATATAACCCAAACTCACATTTCAGGACCTTCCAAAGTGCATCTCAATCCAGTAATGTTAATGTGTCAGAGAGTTAACTTGCTATTGAGAAATGCGACTGTGAGCTTTCCCTTCAAAGGGTTAAAACAGGTTTGTTTGCTACATACAGCTTTCTGCCAGGACATACAATTAGTGACCACAGTTTTCCCCTGAATGTCTTCTGAGGGGCAGCGCTTTGTGCCTGCTGCCGTTCAAGTGCCAAATAGCCCTCTGTCGCCATGGTTGCGACTGTCAAGCAAACTGGCAGGGTAAGGGCTGAAAAGACATCTTCACAATGGGAGGGCAAATACCCCAACAACACTGAACAGTTCTGACAACAGCTGCTGGCTTTTTACAGACTGGTAGGGTGTGGGAGACTTGAAAACAAACTTTTTTGAGGCGTGCCCATTAGAATGGGGGAGAGAGGGTTATGAACTCTTGGAATGTGAGGGGAACACGTTGTCCTCCTGCTGGAATTAATGCATGTAGTGGTTCCTGAAAAAACCAAACAAAACACTTGATTTCTTCATGTATCTTCTTGTATTGGACTTTTTCTTGCTTGGGAACACACTGGAAGTGATTAGAGATGGAATGGGAAAAGTATTATTTTCCCACCATAGTAGAGGATGGTAGGAAGGCAAGGAGTAATTGCTGAAAGAGGAGCTGGGAAGGCTGAAAAGAAAATGAGGTAACTGGAGATGCATCCGGTGTTCAGAGCTGAACAAGCGCAACCAATGCTAGTATTCCTGAATTATTTAAAACAGTCTTACCGCATGCACACTTAAAATTTCCAGAATGGCAGTTGCAATGAGTATGGCTAGGTATGTTCTGATAAATCTATGATTTTTATATTTAAACTATAGGAAACTGCAGAAATATAACAATGTTGTAAAATGTTTGCTTTGCGGTCTTCTCTATGTCAGACTGGTTACATCAGAAATGGCCAGGCTGCTTTGTCAGTTGGCTAAAGCCTGCAGGGGCATGCGGATCTCCAGATGTTGATGCACTGCAATTCCTATCAGCTCTAGGCACCATATCCAAAGATGATGGGTGTTGTAGTTCAACGTTTAGAGAACCACCCATATCACATTTCTGACATGAGCATAAACATGTTTACAATCAGTTGTCATATTCCTAATTCATGTAATAGCTGAATGAATGGCACTCCAGGTATGAAAATGTCATTGCTGGAAGCAAAGGAATGTATTTGAAGTGACTTATAAATGAAAAGTATAATCTAAAATGAACCCTGTTTATATTCCCTTATGTATAGCTAAATGCCTTTTTATTCTGTGCATACAAAATTCACAGTGCATCTGGAAACAGTAGTTTCCATCCTGTAGTGTGTCTGCTTGTGAATTTGTATAGGCTTCTACCTTCTGGAATAGGCAGTCTTGACAAGAAACGTAATGCTATTTTTCAAGGTTTTAGACTTCATGTCACTGTAAAAGAAGAATGAATCTACTGAATTATCAAATCAAGCTGTCCCAGGCTTCATGTTCCTTTTAATGTAGCTTCAGAAATTGATGCATTTGATCACAACTGCAGGCAACATGGATTTTGATTCAGTCAATAGTGGCTTGGATTTCTCCCCCTCTCCCAGCACACTCAATTGGCTCCCTCAGGACTAATTTTGTGAGTATGAAGTCAAGCTGGTTGTCAAAGAATTGGTATTTCCCTTTTTGTTTCAGGGCATGAATTTCATAGCTGGATATTTGATTCTTATTACAAGGAATGAAGAAGAATCCTTTTGGTTGTTAGATGCTCTCATCGGTCGAATATTGCCTGGTATGACAGAATCTTATCTCATCTTTGTGTTGCAACTAATTTTGATTTAACCATGTGGTGGAAATAGCCTTGGCTATCAAATGGATAGTTTTTGGTTTCCAGGAGTCTAGTTAGATAATATTCTGACTTCTATAAGAACCAGAGAACTTTCAGTGTTATGGATATACAGCCAGCATATTGGAAGAAAATGGAGTTCTTAACAATTACCTGAATTTGTGTACTATTTTCCAGAGTTATCAAAGTGGCAAACATACAGTGCCATCATCAAAAAGCAATAAAATTTGATAGTAATAAATAAATATTAATGGCACAGGGGGATCATGCCAAAGCACTAAATGAGGAAAGAAGAGGAGGCATGCGTCAAGTTATTGCTGGAGACTAGTGGTTGGTTTCTGTAAATCAGGGGTCCTCAAACTTTTCCACCAGGGAGCCAGTTGAAAGCTGGGCACGGGCTGGAAAGGTGGCACCAGCGGTGTGCAGGCTGGGGACGGGGTGTGCGGGCGCATGCGCTGAGGCGGGGGAGGGATGTGTGGTGAGGCAGGGGGGGGTGAGGCATGGGCGGGCAGGCGGGTGCACACAGCGAGGGGTGGGGAGGCATGGGAGGGGGTGGGCCTGAGCCGTGAGGCGGGCGCACGAGGCAGCGGCTTGCTCGTTTGGAGATCATTTTCTCCAAGCGAGCAAACGGCTGCCTCCCCACGCGCGGGGTGAGGTGGGCAGCGGCAGGCGCGCACGTGGGTGCAGGCATGCGCGTGGCAGGTCCAAATGGGCGTGGCGGGCCAGATAAATGGGCATGGCGGGCCAGATCCGGCCCCCGGGCCATAGTTTGAGGACCCATGGTGTAAATGGTCAGTGCTCTTTACTTGGTGAATTTGTGGAACCAGCTTACCGCAATGCAACACATGAAGACATTTTTTCTCTCTGAAGAAAACCATTATAACAAGAAAGTCCTGCTTTCAAAGCTTGTGCCAGAAAAAGCACCATCACATGGTGCATGCTGCTTGAATGTAGTGTGGCTTCTGGCATTCTAAAGTAGGTGATAAAGCTACCAGTTGCCCGAAGCTAGAATTGCACAGATGTTTTGGGTGGCAGGGAGGGTTAAAGGGTTAAAGCACAGCTCTCAGCTGGCCATGCTCACTATCTCAACTGGGGCCATGCATGCTTGCACAGGTTTGTTTGTTTGTTTATTAAAAGCTTTTGTATGCCGTCCTATTATACAAGATCTCAGGCCGGCTTACAATTTTTAAAAGGACAATTAAACAACAATATCAATAATAAAACAGAACAAAACAATAAACCAAACAGAGCGACTAAACTACAAAAACTATTAGAGTTTAAAATACTGTTTAAATAAAAAGGTTTTGGCCTGGCACCAAAAAGAGTATAAACTTGGCGCCAGGCATACCTCTCTGGGGAGTACATTCCAGAGTCTGGGCGCCACAGCAGAGAAGGCCCTACTCCAAGCTGATGACCTTTTTACCTCTCTTAGAGAGGGTTCCCAGAGTAGGGCTTTTCCCATAGATGTTATGGGGCATGAGGGCATATAAGGAAGGAGACATTAACATGTGTGGTAAAGAAAATGTTCAACATTCTATTTCTGGAGCCAGGTCTCTTATTGCAACGAAACATGTTTCTTCCTCAGAAGTCTAGAGACTGAGGCTTGGCTGTTATGCAACGCAGAGTGTTGGACTTTGACCCAGGAGAACAGTGCAGCTGCGAAATCCATGTGGCCGCTGTGTGCCTGAGCAAACTGTGATCTTGCAAAAAGCATCAGGGTGACCTCATATGTGCAACTGTGAGCTCCTTGGAGGTCGGGCTGGATACAAATAAGTGAAAATGATTGCTTCTCATACAAGCTTCTTAAATGGGAGGGTCTTTCAGATATGTCACTGTGCGGACATAAGAAATGGTATAAAGGATAAACGTCTAAATGAGGAGTAACCATGTAATTAGCAGGCTCTCTGCAACTCTTTCCTGGATATGGTAACTTCCTTGTTTACCTAAGCTGTTTCATCTCTTGGCCTGTGATTTTATGCTGACTTGTAAAATAATGTGCATCTTTCTAAGGAATTTGCATCTTTGGTGATTGGCTTATCTTCAGGTGAATAGAAGTGGAATGGCTTGACTTTTTTACACAGAGGGCCAGGGTACAAAAATCTGTAAAAGTGATAGTGCTGATTTGACAAACATGGATTTCCACCATGTATTTAAAATGACCATAAATAAACACTAGGTGGGAGAGACTGAAAAGACTTCTTGAAAGGCTTCATTGCTGTTGAATTGTTCTTAGAGAATACTACTGCTGCTCCCTTTTCCTTTTTCTGTTTTTTGTTTTTGTGTGATGTTTTATAATCATACACCAAATAGTAGCAATTGCACAAAGATGGGAGAGAATAGCATCTCCCTCCCCTTTCTCCCTGCCCACCCCACAACAAAACAGTTAACAGCAAAAACTTTCCTAAGTGGAAAGTGTGGTAGAAGTTTCCTATGTAGATATCTTGAGTAGGGGTAAGGAATTGGCTGTAGGACCTCTGGGTGATGATGGACTTCAGCCTCCACCACTGTACCAAGTGGTCCGGGATTGTAGGATTTGTAGTCTACAAAACATGGAAAGTCACAGATCCGCTACCCCTGATTTAGAATGTTGTGTAACTCTGAAGTGGAATTTGCTTCTAGCAAAAGAGGTTTAAATGTTGGATCATATGGTGGGACCACTTTCTGTTTTAATAGTTGTTATTCTCCAGTTCATGCATGCGAGGGTGATCCAGCAGTGATATCTGTTGATTCAGCTGGCTAGTGGCTCTTCCTTTCTCAGCCCTCCATGTGCCTCCCTCCTTAAGCTGGGTACCCAGTGAAAGAGGATGACAATCTCAGATAGGAGTGCACCATCTTTGGTCAAGGGTATATGATACAATTCCCCAGTCATGATCTAAATTCATTTACACTGGCCTCTCCTAACCTGGCACCCGTCAGATGTTTCGGACTATAACTTCCAGTGTTCCTCATCATTGGCCAAGGTGGCCAGGACTGATTGGAGATGAAACCCAAAATTTCTGAAGAGCACCAGATTGGGGAAGGCTGGTTTACCCCATCTTTTACATTCCTGAGCAGTGACAGAATAATTAAAGTGTTTTGAGTGTTATGACAAGATGTCCTTAAACTAGCCCGCAGAAGTAGGAGCATGCAGCCATAGCTGTGTTCTTATATATGTCAAAGGGCCACCACATGTTGGGATGGCCAGCCCTCTCCCTTTGTGCAGTGAGGTTTCCACATGCTGCAGGTTAGCAATTCTCATGTGAATGAGTAACAGTCATTTATTTATATTGAAGAAAGTGAGGAGGTGCACTCAATGTCATAGGAGTCCTAGAGTCTACAGCCTGAGGGTATAACCTGGGCAATTTTCATTTGACTGCTATGTTAAGTATTTGGGCTACCTTTTCCCAGTTGAGCATTTAAGGTTATTCCAGAACTCTTCTGTAACCATTCTACAGGAGCCTTGCACTGACTTTAAACAGCTATATCCGTGTAGTGTTCCAAAAGATGAGTTGTCTTGTTTATCTCAAGATAAGGATTTATGTCTATAAAAAGGAGGAACAGCCCCCCTCTCAGCTATTTTTGGAGATTACTTTTAATCCATTTGTGGCAAGGGACAAGGTCACATGGGTCATATAACCTTTATTCCTTGTTCCCCACAAATCTCATTATAGCATCCTGGGTCACAGTACATTGCAAGCCCACCTTCACATTGTTAAAAATCTTCTGATGTTTAGACTTGAGCAAACAAAACCAAACAAAAATCCAGCTAGTGATCTTTGTTTCAGTGAGGTGAGCAGGTTGCCATGGATGGTTCTGTTGTGCCATGAGCACAAAGGGCTGTGTGTGTGTGTGACTGTGCACACACACGCCTGTGTAAATACTGTATTCAGCAATGGGATAATGAACAATCCTGTGCATCATAATAATAAACAGTTTCTGGATGTGCTTTGTCTTAGGCTTTTCATTTTCTGGCATAGCAGTACATGTAGGTAATTCAGCTCCCTGTATGACTCTGAATTAGGGGAGAGATGGAAACAGTTTTTAGAAAATGCCTTTGGCTAGATTGTGAAGTGTGTTGGGTTAGTTTTTGGAACTGCTTGAGTAGCGACTATGCTTGCTTAGAGCAATTGAAACATGAAATGTGAGTGACTTTTGCTTGCTTATTTTGACTAAGCCCAAAGCAAGCTTTTTCCATGTTCACTGTAACACAAAACAACATTGAAATCAACCCAAGTGCACATAATAGTGTGCCCAAGCTTTTGAGGTTTCCAGATCTCTTAATTCTGCAAGATGATAATCAAGGACAAAGTGTGTGTGTGTATGTATACACTGGTGGATATTTAGCCCATGGAATCTCCAGCTAGTTACACTCCTAAGATGGAATGTGTGTGGAGGCTGCAGATATTCAGATTATGCTTTGCTAGGTGATATGATGGTTTCAGGTTGCTTCTGGGACTGTCCTGAGGTATGCGAGAATCAGCGGCCTCTCAAGTTTTTAAGCTATTTCACGACTTGGCAGGTTGCTCTTGAGAACTGGCCATTATAAATCTGTGCACAAGTAAGGGAGCTTTAAAGTTACCGGGCAAGAATGGCTATTTCACATTTCAATTGACCATGCTAAGGAAGAGAGATTTGAAATTAGGAAATAGCCATGTTAAAGGGTGAGAAATCAAGTAATACGACAGCCTGAATAGGTCTTGAATTAACTATTTTATATTCGAATGTAGATAGGTTGTCCACTACATCAAAGCAGGCTGTGACAGAATTTAGTATTTAATTTTAGTATTTAATTTTTTTAAATGCTAGCAATTTAGTTGCTAGCATTTAAAAAAAGACAGAGGAAATTAAATTCTGATTTGTGCCATGATTTTTTCAGTTGTCTTTTCCCGACCACTTTAGGACAGGCATAGTATGTCATCATAGCATTGGACTGCACTAATGGGAGGCAGTCTCTCTCTCTGCTCATATGTCGGTGGGAGTAGCCACATGCACAAGGTGGATTTATGTGCCCTGAAAGCAACCTGGTGAAACAGCAGAAGTGCTCTTTCCCGTTTCATTTATGCAAATTATTCCATCCAGGGTTCTTTTTAGAATGGATAGTTCCATGTTGCACAAGCTAGTGCAACACAATTAGCTGGAACACAGTAGCCCGGCTGGATAGAAACACAGAAACTGAGTGAGTTAGAAGGGGTCTCCTGAGCCATCTAGTCTGACCCCCAGCTCCAGCTGGCTCCGCTCATGACATGCTTCCTCTTTGTGCCCTGTTCAAAGCACTTCTAACTTGGTGTAAGGAAGTGTATGACATCCTTCAGGACTTCTCTGCAGCCCATACATGAGAGATGAGTTTTTGCTTTTCAAAGTTAAGGTGCAATCCTTTGAATGTTTAGGCCTACAGCTTCCAGAATTCTCCAGCCAGCGTGGCTTGCTGGCAAAGCCTGGGGGTTGTCAGACTTTTCTCTCTAAATATGCCTAGTTTTACATCCTTAGTCACTAGCTCTTAGTATCTCTGTATCTTAAACCAGTATATAAAATAGTTTATACTAGTCTGTTGGCATGTATATGAAAGACAGCCTACACCCCTATGGGCTTGCCCAGAACCACTTGCTAAGATTATCAGCAGAGGCCTGGCTCAGATTGCACCAATGTCTGAATTGGGCTGCTTCCAGTGGTTAGGTAGGATCTCTTAATGATGGTCTCTCAGCTATGGGATTCTCTTTCCAGAAGCAGACTTGATTGATAACTTTCAGCACCTGGTAAAAACTCTTTTCCCATATTGGGTTTGTAAATGCATTTCAATTGGTTTCTAGTGATTCAGTGGTTCTCAGAATTTTTCAAGAGCAGTAGCATCCTGTTTTAAACATCTATTTCACTTTTTTAAGTGCTTTGGTTCTTAGTACATGTTGTGGTAAACTGCCTTGGAAATTCTTGTTTTGAAAAGCAGGGTGGAAATATTTATTTTATTTTTGTTTAAAATGTTTGCGGTTTCTAGCTATTAGAATCTTGATAAATGGTTCACTAACGTACACTGCTTTACAATATTTATGTCTTCCCCATGTCTCCTTTGGGTCTGAAAATCACTGCTCCATGTGTAAGAAGGCCTAAGAGGTGTGCTGATAGCAGAGTGAATCCCTAAGACCAAGAATCCCCAATCTGCTTATCACTTTGCTATCACAAAAACAAGATAATTAAGTAATGGAGGGTCTAAACTTGGACTAGCATTATTTCTAGCCGCTGGGAATTATGCCATGCTATTCTTGCACGAGAGCTTTGGTATTCATCCTCTGCTCTGGTCTGGGAGACTGAAAACAGCAACTGCTATTCCCTTTCAATAGATCAAATGCTTATAAGAATGTAGACTCCCAGTATTGTGACCTGTGCCAAGTCATGGAGCGCCATCTGGTGGTTTATTTAAGAATCTGTTAATTTGTGCTTTCAGATACATGTACTTTAGAAAAAAGTGCTGGGATGGTGGAATATATTGATATTGACTGGGTTTGTGTCAAGGACCTACACATTTGTGTACATCTGTATATTATGAGACTGACTGGGTTTCACACTAAGCTGTGGTGGGTTGTCACCATGAATTGCTACAAGCTGGCCTAGCATGATATCCAAATCTGGAAGGGTTTTTTCCCCCAATTGTGGGTTGTTCTTCAAAAACAAGCCACTCTCTGGCTTTGTAGTAGGATTGTTTAGGGTGGCTTGTTCTCAGGGTGAAGAACAATGGACGGAGGTTTGCAACATTGTACGAGAGGTAGCAACTAAAACCATCCCAAAGAAAAAGAAATGCAAGGAAGCAAAATGGCTGTCTGAGGAAGCTTTACAAATAGCTGAGGAAAGAAGGGAAGCAAAAGGCAAGGGAGAAAGAGAAAGATACAAACAATTGAATGCAGAATTCCAGAAAATAGCTAGAAGAGGTAAGAATGCCTTCTTCAAGGAACAGTGCAAAGAAATAGAAGAAAACAATAGAATAGGGAGGACCAGAGATCTCTTCAAGAAAATTGGAGATATGAAGGGAACATTTCATGCAAAGATGGGCTTGATAAAGGACCAAAATGGCAGGGGCCTAACAGAGGCAGAAGAGATTAAAAAGAGGTGGCAAGATTACACAGAGGAAATATACAAGAAAGAGCTTAATGTCCCTGATAACCATGATGGGGTGGTCACTGACCTCAAGCCAGACATCCTGGAATGTGAAGTCAAATGGGCCTTAGGAAGTCTGAGCAACAACAAAGCTAGTGGAGGCAACAGTATTCCAGCTGAGCTATTCAAAATCTTAAAAGACGATGCAGTAAAAGTGCTACACTCAATATGCCAGCAACTTTGGAAAACTCAACAGTGGCCACAGGATTGGAAAAGGTCAGTTTACATTCCCATCC